CATAAGTCTCTCGGCTTCTTCTATGGTCAAAGCCTTGAATGTATTCTTCGCACTGAAGCGATACCACTTCTCAACCGGTATCATTCTCATCTTCCCTGTATTCTCAAGCACAAAGACTGCGTGGGTCTCTGACAACGCGGCTTCATAATTTCCTACCCATATATTTTTGTTGTCAAAATCCTCCAAGTGCCATGGAAGGGCCTCCTCATACTTGATCCGAGTCCTGGCTATCTCCTCTGGGGTCATGTCTGTTTTAGTCACTTGCTGAGTTTTCTGTTTGGGGGCATTATGCCTTTTCGGCGCTGATCCGACGGAAGGAGCTATTTGGGCCATGTTCTCTGCGCGCTCCTTTTCACGAGCTGCTTTCCTAGCCTCCAACTCCTCGCGTTCAAGTTCGTCCATCTGGGTGCTTTGTTCGGAGCCGGGTTTCGAATTGAGCTGGCCTCTCTCAACGTGTGCTTCATTCGGCCGTGCTCGTGGATCTCGGCGCTGGAGCCTAACAGGGCGAGTAAACTGACTTTCATCGCGAGGATCGACGGACTTTTTCGAGGTGAACCTGGCGATATGGTGCTTCAAGCCTTCGCGCAATGCTCGTCTTGTAGTCACGATGGGGTAATCAACGTAATTCTCAGACAACAACGGGCCGCTGAATCCGTTTGCCGAAAAATCATTCTTCGGGTTCAGGCTTTTCTCGACGCGAGCCCCTGGTAGCTGGCTTGAAGTGACTGGTCTTGAGTTAGGCATCCTTGATGCGCCGTTTGCTGCCGAGGTAGGAGCTGGGGGTCTTATTGCCGGTCTCCTCTTTGGTCGCACGAGGGGATCCGCCACTTTTGGCCGGCGAATCCGCACTGGTGGAGGACCGTTCGACCCCGTCGGGGTCTTGAGAGTCTGATCATTAGTAGGTGTGGTCATGATAACGTTTTGTGTTACTCGTCGAGGTCGGAGAAGCCCTTAGCAAATCTTCCAGACAAAGTGGCTAAAAGGCTGCAAGTGTTGCGCTTGAGGCCAGGGTCGAATACATGCGTTGTATCAGGTGGAAGATTAGGATTTTGAGCAAGAGTAGATAACTACTCAGGCGTTGAGTACTGAAGTGAAGCCGGGCGGACGCGAGATGACTGAAGTGAAGTGAACGTGATTATGTAAGTGATCAACTACTTCGTTGACAAAGGTGGCGGCGTGACAAAGGCACAACGGCATACTCCGTCTGGTGTTACCACTGCTCACAGAATGCCATATTGTGGGCTACGTTGTATTTTTACGGAAATTAACTCAAGTTGTGGGCCTTCATAGTGTCAATGAGTTCTTATTATTACTATCTGAATTACCTTCTACCCAGGCCAGGACAGATTAAAGAATTATTTCAGCCATCCTTCACACCATCACTATGTCTGGTAGATAGATCAATGGAAGAGCTGAGATCACAGTAGAAGACTTATCTTGTATTTATTCTGATTATTTGAGGTAGGCTTCTCTCTGCAGGATTGTACTAGTACTCACATACAATTGAAGTACTGAATACAAAGCGGACAGCATTATCTATGAAGGCTATGGTAAAGTTTTCGGTCTGACATATTCTGTGGGTCAAAAAAATGCTTGGGGCAAACAGGCTGGTCATAAAAGGTGAGTCATATAGCTTTGGTAACGACGCAAACAAATGCATCTGTCTAACCAGTAAATAACTTTTTGACTAGATTTCAGTCTGGTAAAAGCGCCACTGAGAATAGAATTCGTGCCTGCCCAAGCACCGAATTTACTTCATTACCGAGACGAATTGAAAAGCTCAATTTTGAAAACGTCTTTAGAATTTTGTATAAAGGCCCCTAGGCTGGTCTATGGTATGGGCTCCTAAATGCCTCACGACACATTCGCACCTTTCGCGATGCAGAATCTTAAAATAGCTCCTCAACCTTTTGGTCGTCATCATATGCATTTCTGTCGATAGGCGGATGCGGCTTTTCTTCGCCCTCTTCATCCCGCATCAAAACTTGAACTAGCCTATCGCAGGCTTCCCGAACAGCGTCGTCATCAACATGGAGGTGACATTCTCGGATTATAGGATATACTTTGATGGCCCTCATCTTATCCCGTCCTTCACGCGTCGTGGTAAGCAGCAGCAGAGTCTCAAGGTGTGTCACAATGATACTAGTGTCGCTGTCTCTTTGTTTGTCGGGCGGCAGCAGCTGGAGATCTGGCAGCATATCCATAGATTCTTCCTCATCATATTCCTCAGGGCCCATGATAGGCAACAAGATATAGGGAAGAATATCAGCCTCATCTTCGGACAGGAGTTTGGGATGGAAAGGTAGGTCAAATGCAACGTTCTTGATAGTTGACGCGACACCTTTTCTCCGGATCCCACTCGTATGTTCCGTGAACACGGTTAGTTTCGTCACTGGTACAACATCATCGTACTCTTGTTTTGTAGTGAAGTAGGCCCGCCCTTCCTCATATTTCGAGAGATCAGCAAACAAATATGACAGATAGTCGAAATTGGCGTGTTTGTTAAGTGCGCCCTCGGCTCCTTTAACAAAACAGTCCATCAGCTGATCGATCGCATTAGCAGAACTGGATACCCCCTCTGGAACCTTCCGTTTCAGCGTGAACAATTTCTTCATCTTTTCTGATTTCGCAAGGTTGGCAAACAACATGGCGACATCATCCGCATTCGGCTCCTTGACATTCTGCGAAGTTGGATGTTAGGCAGGTATGCAGACATTAACATCAATTCAGCAACTCACCGCCAGTTTGACTAAAAGAGTTTCGACAAAAGCATCGTCTTCGGCAAGAGCCGCTAAGACTTCCTCATCGGCTGAAAGGTTGATAAGTATTGTTATCGCATTTTTGGCGATAGGCTTTCGGTATGGGAAGATGGTCAGCGAATGCCTCCGTCAATGTTTAACGGCACAATTGAAGGACTTGGGTTACTGACTGTGTAGTCGCGGACCAAAAGCTTCAAGTCACGGACTGGTAGAAGCTGGTGGCGTTTGAAGAGTTCCGGCTGTGAGACCGAAAAGCCGACTAGATTTTCGCATGCTGAAAAGACCAGAGGTTAGAATAACGCTGATGTATGTCTCGGCAGAATGCGGGAGATGAAGATAGCAGAAACATGCGGTTTAGCAGCAAAAGTCTAAGCAATCTGCAGCTTACCAATCTGTCTGATCGGTGTGTTTCCATGGTGGAGGAATTCAACAAGCTGGTTGATGCAAATACATCAGTCTCCGAATCGAGGACCCAAGACTTTCTTACAGTCAAAAGCGTGGTTCTACCTACCTCTTCTAGCTCTGTCGGCATGTTAAGGGGTTCTTGATTTCAGGTTGAGGAAAGAGGTGAAAGAGGCGACAATTCGCACAATGCTGATATCATGTAATACGTGCATTCTTTTCCTTTTCTTCGTCTTCTTTTCCCCGCCGGCTGGTGGGGATCAACTTTCTCAGGACTTCGGTACCGCCCACTCGATTGGGTATCCATCCAGCCATACTAAGTTCCTCCTGTCGAATCTGGCTTAGAGTACTCCATTTATGTGAAGCGCCTATGTATAAGTATCAGGACAGACTACTGAGTTACAGTAAAACAAACCCACGGTGTAAGACAAGGTTTGTGATTGAAATGAGGGCTTTTTAATACTAGGCGGTGACCCCTCTCTTCCGAGTTGCGCGCCCCGCGATGTATCCAAACGTATATGGTTGTCACAGAGACAGAAGTCAACCCTTTTGTCACCACTTGATCAATCAAGGACTGAGAACTCTAGGGCCGCAAGATATATTATCGAGTTTGGCATAATTGCGCATGCTGACTCAGGAGAAGACGCACATATCATGTACTATTGACCCTCCAGGAAGCTGTGACGGCATCAAGGCACGGCAGAGTTGGAAGGGAGAATCAATACAACATAGGAGGGAGCAATCCTGAACAGAGTCCTTACCCACCGTACTCTCTCTGTCCACCTTCTCATTGATGTCAGCCTTCTCTTCGCCTTCCTCCCCTGTTCCTCTTCCACGTCGTCGTCCCCTTGTGACCTCAACAACTTCTTCAGGCACAACAGATGTCTATCTTCATGCAGAGCCGGTCCACCAGACTCATACACTCTCAACACATGCGAGTTTAGCTCCTCCGCATGATACATCATCCTATCAATAGCGTCTGCGACATCCTCTGCAAGTTTATTGTCTCCTCCCTGTTTTGCTTCTTTGATCTCATGGAGCTGCTTCAGCCAGAACATCCACCATTGAAAGCCGGTTCATCGCGCGTATTGGGTCTTCGGCGTCGGACTCATTAACGGAGCGGAGATCTCTATTTTCATTCTCCAAAGTAGCGCGGAACAGAAAGGGGGCAATCTGGCAGAGTCCATCCATGTAGTCGCGAGTTGAGGCCACTTTAGCGAAGGAGGACAAATTAAGCCGCTGGGTCCCAGACATTGTCACGAACCCGTTGATCCAGAATTCCACCATGTCCAACACGGAAAAGGGGAGGCCTTTCTAAATTAGACATTTCGGTCCCTTGCCACACCAACACCAAGTGCCCCTCTTACTGGCCTGGATAGCGGGCCTTTGCCCTGAATGCGGAGGATGTCCAGGACAATCGCATCATGCCCAGGACTCTCATGCGACAGGTACCTACCTGCCTGGTAGTATACATGCCAAATGCCGTGCAAGTATCCTTTCAGGCTGTCCACTCCATCCCCGACAGTGCAGTATCTGTCGGCGGTGATCCAGACTCTGTTGCCGGCCACCGAACGCAGTTAACTGATGTTTCCCCGGCTAGCTTCTTGACGAACTTCCTCCCAACCTAAACCAGCAGCGTTAACAGGGACTTGCTCATTACCACCTTCTGGTAAGGAAGCGAGCAAAGCCTCGGAATACTGCTGCATATTGCTATGATGGTGGTATGGCATTTCGTGAACATTGGAAGGCCACAGGTCTGACAAGCTCGTGGTGTAGCAGTATGATGGGTTTTACGAAGTATTCATCACCCAATGCCCCCGATGGGACTGCCACCCAGGCAACACTGCTTGACAACTATAAATTTGTTCTAAGGGTGTTGAGCAAAGGACTGGATCCGGATCATTGATATCCAGTCCAACTTGAGGTGGTTATAAGGCTTGTGACGTGGCCTACATAGACGGCTCCAGGATTCATTTATACTCAGTGTCCCTGGTCAGACCGCCATCCAGGCTGCACTGTTTGGCGGCTGTCGATTGGCCTTAGGGGCGTTCTTGAACAGAGAATTGAGCCCGAGCGTTACGACCTCCCGCTTAAAATGAGGTGGCACAGGGTGGCGGCTTCGGGCCCGGGACCAGTCACTAAATAAATCAGATAGCAGAAGGGGATCCAGTAATGTTATCTGAATAAGAGCTTGGCGTTTGCTTGCTTGTTACGAGCAGTCTGTTCTTTCTCGCGAGATGCGAGTAATTGTTTGATTTTTCAAGCCAGTGATGACAACTACTTTATTATCGGGTGCTTACTCAGATACAAACAAGCAAGTCGCGAGAGGAAACTGAAACTAGAGCGGAGATAAACAATAAATGACTCCAACGTTGAATGGGTTCGCTGGTTGTTACACCTCTGATGTTGAGTGCTACCTGCTCCTTTCCAATTCCGCCGGCCAGCCGCAAGTGCCTATTGGCATTCAACAGATCGATCATAAAAATCATAAATGCACTTTTCTCCGTCATGGATACACTAGAACAAAGTATGATCAGCCGGATGTATCTAGACAGTCAAGGAGCCATGTGACGGTCAATCACGTTTCTATTAGCAAACTATGTTGAGCACCACACAAGGTTTGTCTCGTTGTTCATCTCGGACCTGCATGTATTATTCTTTCTGTTGCAAGTCTAATGTCATGTCCGTATCACATTTAGCGATATTCTCCTCACTTACATGAAGTCAGCAGAGTGTTCACTCACGCCTTCATGTTTGACCAAAGCGCCATTCTTATCTCGGGAGATCGGTTTATTATCGTTTCCAATCTGTTTGACTCGTGGAGGGTCGGCTTCGACAGTCGATAGCTGCAGCTGGAAGGTCGGCGGAACTGAAATGAAGTCGACAACGCCAAATCTTATTGAGTCCGTTTCGGATTGTCACTTGGCGGGGCTTGCAGCTGCTCCGAGCACGATAGATCGCAGAAGGCTAACAGAGGCCAAGGGGATGATTTGTATGATC